TTGAATGCAAAAATATTAAAATCCAATAAGGTAAATTAATTTTTACACTGCATCACTTCTCTGTTGGGTAGTGCTTTAGGTGTTTGTTTTCAGTGAGTGTTTTGCACATGAAACTCATTGGTGATGCATTCCCTGCTACCTCCCCTTATCGAGATAAGGAGAGGTAGCTACCATCAGGTTTCTATGGTAATAACCCACTAATGCAAACACAATGACAGTTTAAAGGTTCATAAAGTCACATTTTCATTAACAGGTTTCCAGTTTGACAAACACTGTAAACTCATTTTAATTAGTGGCCAGCGTCTCACTGTTCCTATTAGTATGAACATATTACATGTAAGACTTTCTAGCCTCCATGTCTTTTCAAAGTTTTGCGTAAACAATGATGTTGAAAGTTAGACTTGGTTAACTTCAACCCTTAAAACCTTCAGAACACTGTTTACACAGCATCAACAGGATAGCCTGTTTAGACAAACATCAGTCATTTTTTCATGCCTTTTCAACAAAATCTGGGCTAGATGATTTGTGTTTTTGCAGCCATAAAAGTGGATATAACAAACAACCTTCATATTGAGGACTATTTTAATTAAGTATTATAAAAAGTAATTTAGAAAGCACCAAACCAACAATAATTTGACAAAAGACCGACTTTTAAAAAGCTTAAAGTGATTGAAAAACTGACAAACTCTGAATTTCAGCAAATTTAACCCAACACTAAGGCACAGTTATAGAAACATGTACTTTAGGTTAAAATAGGTTTCTATCACAAACAAAATAGCATTGTAACATTTTGTATAACTCTAAACTCTGTTTACCCTAATCCCTCATCCTAACCCTACATATGCTTTTCTGGGTAAAAACAGACCTCGTTGCATTTCATCTGCACCACAGGGAACCCTCAGAGTCTTAGTGCAAATCCTAAATAGGTTTAAATAAGCTGTGAAAAACATTACAGGCCAGATTTATTTGCATATATGACTCCAGATTACACTTGCAAACATGATCACAGCAGGCACCATTGGTGCAATAAATGCCTCAAAAACATGAATAGAGTTAAGTTCTATAATTCTAAATATATTTTTCTTATTTATTCATCAAATATTTATGTAGCCTTAAATTATACTGCTTACACTAGAGACATTAGTAAAGCCATGCATTCAGAATCACCTAAAAGCTATTTTATTATTATATTGAAAGAACATTTTGTTTAAAAAGAAATCATCTCAGTTTTTAATGAGAATAGTAGTAGTTCTTTTACAGACAAAGGAAATCCATTTCAAAGTAGAAGTAACTGCAGCAGTAAAGCAAAATGTCTTTCCTCCTCCTCATTATTCCCCCGACTGTTTTGGGCTTTTTGTCACACTGGCCATGAAGACTCCCATCACCTGAGCAGAGGCAGAGGTCACCCAGCGCAGCACACCGTGACATCTTTGCCCACAACACTTCAAATATGCTCCGCCTGGTGAGAGTTCACACCTTTATTTCCCACTTCAGAAAGAGCTTCTGCTCTGGATCACTTACAAAGACACTTACGCCCTGTACACTATAGAGGGAGTAGAGCCGAAAGGAAAGGAGGAAGCAGATAAATGCACCTGCCGTTTAAGACAGACTTAAAACACAATCATTTTTGCTTATTTGGGAACATCCAGTGCATCATGAAAATATTTAAAACACTTTACATTTTCCATATTTTCTTAAGTTATAGCCTTATTCCAAATTGTATCGAATTAATCTCTTCCCTCTGAAATACCCAATTATGACAATATGGGAAAAAAGGAGATTTTTGCAAATTTAAAAATAGAAAACCAACATTTAACCAACCAACCATGTAGCTGCCAAACTCACAGGCAGGCAAAAGCAAACAAAAACTTAAACCATGAGTCAACAACAATTATTTGAGCCTGAAGTGAATGTAAGCCTTTCATTAGCTAAATTGTGGCTAATTATGCCCCATCTGTGGTAATTATTTCATGCTGCTTTCATAGAAAGATGTTTTCCAAACTATAAATTGCTGGAGGACATACTTAGTCCTACTATTTTTTTTTTGTTGTTGTTGTTGTTGTGACTTTATCTTTATAAGGTGATTCAACATTTCTGTCTTTGCGCCTCCATTTTTCTAGAGGCACAATTGACTGAGCTCTTACTGCTAATAACTGTTTAACTTTGTCTCTCACCTGCATATACAACATCTGGAACATACAAACAACAGACTTCAAATAAAGCAATAAAGCACATTGATCTTAAATTCTCATCTCTAATCCTCCTTATATTTTATATTTGGGTAAAGTGGCTTTGTTGGGGGAAAAAAACTGGTCCAGTATGCTTCAAAAGTGACAGAGAAAAAAGAAACGGAAAAAGAACTGCCACAGATTTGTAATCTTGTAGAACCCAAGCAGTCGTAATGAGACAGAAAAAGAACATTTATGGTAAGTTCAAACTGTAATTATGTGAGCCTTTTGGATCAGGCTCCACTGGACTCGCTGCACTTCTGCTCTCTCCGTTTTCTGTTTGCCATCATGCTGCTTTGGCTCGGAGGACATACTTAGTCCTACTACTGTTTTTGAGTTTTTGATAGATGTTTTAAAAAAACATCTATCCTATTAGCTGGGTTTGACACCTGTTATGTTATATTTGCATATTAAAATGTTAAACATCAATGAAACGATTAACAGAACCAACTGTCCCCTGTTAGTTTTTGTCACTTCAAGGAGTCCTGAGTGAAATCTTAGTGTTATTGCATTTGATTCAACATGTAATGTACAAAAAGAACAAAGGATGAACAACGGATAATCAATAGAAAAATAAAACTTCACCGGGTTGACTTGTCTTCCCCCCCCCAAAAAAATTTAAAAAATCCACAGAATGATTTTTTTTTACTTCAATAAAGATAAATATATTCAAAGCAATGACAATCTACTTTAACAATAAAAACTGAAACTCGCAAAGCCTTCAGTACTTAGGTAACTGTTTGAATTTGGAGAATCCATCAGAAAATAAATACAACTTCTTACATTTGGTTGGACACCTTAAAAACTTAGAAGCATTTAACTAATCACATCACAAGTCATGTCTTGTTTGACTCAGACACTGGTTCGTTCACATTCCATGTCACTAAATGTATATTTGTCTAAAACCTCAGACAGGATGAAATAACTCTGCACATCAGAGTCGACTATAGTGTGTAATTTAAAGCAAAAGCAGAGCAAAGTTCTGATGGGCTTGTTAAGTTTCCACGATCTGGCTAAGAAAAGCATTTCTTTCATTCTGAAGTATAGCTTTACCAAGAGGGGATCCAAACTGCGGCAACATGAAAGCAGCTAAATGTTGACGCTGATAAGGATGCAACAGTAACCAGATTTAGATGTAGACAAACAAACAGGAATCATCTCATCCTGACGCTTTTTGAAGCAGAAGCTGTAATTTAGGTTTGAAACTGTGGTCAAACGTTTGCCAAAAGTTTCAATCTGCACATTCAACAACACCGCTCCTCCGTTGCAAAACACACACAAAACACACACAAAGCGTTTCCAAATGCTGCAAAGGAACACCTGTTTTAGCTCAACAATACAATGTGAGGCAACTATTCCGCTGGACAGTTTTGTACACATTTTTATTGAATATGAGTGAAAATATAATTATGTACAAAGTTAGAAACATAAATCAGATTTACATGAATGACAAAATAAAAATCATCCCAATGATAAGCAACTAAACAAAGGAAGAGACAAAAAAAATATCTATTTCTAATCAAATCAAGAGACAAAGCCTCTGCAACTGCATTGTTATAATTGGTAAAATCTATTTAGAAATTGTCTCAAATATAAATATGAATATAGCAATGTTTACAGTAATTGCTTTAGCTGACACTTTCTTTTTAGCTGATAAGGATGTGTAAAAATCATTTAAAAATATTTTATTGCACAAACAATGTCACAAAATTATCTTTTAGAACAATTTAACCTTCAATGTAAGTACATTTATTTAGTTGGTTCAAAGTAAAACAGGCAGTGAGCTAAAGAGTCGAGTCTTCCCATAATAAACCACATAGAAGGTTCAAATCATTTACATTTCTAAGATTCTTTTCCAGAGCAGTTTGAATGCCTATATATATATATATATATATATATATATATATATATATATATATATATACATACATATATATATATGAACTTGAATCCTTTTCTATTTAGATAATGATAGTGCAATAAGTGACAAAAGTATTTTAAAGTATTTTTACACACCTTTACCAGATGAATGTTGGGAGACTAAACAATGAAAAAACAATGAAATAATTTTGAAAAACTTCAGTAATTTGTTCAAGACTCTTCTACTGCAGTTAGAAAACAAACATGTCTTACCTCATTTTCCCGTTTTCCTTCTTACTGCTCCCTGCGGTGCCTGGCTGTTCGCCTTTGCAGGCACTTCTCATAATCTCTCTCAAAACCATAAATTGCTTGTTTATTCTCTACAATTAATTTAGTTTCTAATAGCTTCCTTTTTAGAGTTATTTCGTTGGGTTCAATCTTCTCTGCATTGACTGTGCATGAGCAGAGCCATTGAATTTCACAGTGTTTGTGTTTAAATATGTGAGAATGGTAAGGAAAACTAATTATTAAATGATGACAAAAAATCTAAAATCAGGAAGCCTTTCTGCTTTTACTTCCCTATTTTTATTGAATCTACTCTGTCTTCTGGTAAAGTTTCATCTTCAGAAAATGTATACGAATCATTTCTCAGAGGTTATTTCTAAAAGAGGGACACTTCAGGAAATCCAAAAAAGAAATCTCTCTGCTGTACTTCTGGTAACAGAACACATCTTAACTTTCACACCTGTAGACTGTATTTCAGGGGAATAAAACTTCCACTTTTCTCATTTTAAATCAGAATTCAGAAATCCAGACAATTGGAAACTTAAGGCAGACGGATGCATCAATCTTTTTCCATCCCAGAGTGTCACTTCACTCAGTCTGCCTTCCGCTCCCCGCTGAGCGTCTTACCTTCCGAGATCTCGTTGTTTTCTCGTGTGACATCACTCTTTTTAGTCCCCTGGGTCTGAGCCGTTTCGGAGCCTGATTGCTGAGCTGGAAGGAAGAACAGAGAAAAAAAAATGTAATCTATGTTAACGAACAGAAAAAAGATCAAATAAAATAGGGGACAAGATGAAAAGGTGATGTTTTTTTTTTGTTTTTTTTTTTACCTACATGTCTTCTGATTGCATTGGATACACTGGATTTCGTTGGAGCAATACAACAAATACAAACAAATGCCAATGTGTGCCACACTTTTCAGATGTTTTGTCTACAAATAATTTATTCATTTACTTGGTTTAGCACACAGAATCCAAATTCATGGCATTTTACACAGGCAAGTATGTGAGATCAAAAAATGCACAGCTTTCTAATCTCCCAATGAGAGTAAAGATTATGTGCAAAATTAAAGCTCTTTGAATAGAGCCCTTTGCACCTGTGCATTTATGTATGCAGCAGATACATAAGCTCAATATGTCCTGATTTGTATTTTCGAGAACAGCAAGTAAATACTAGCAAGTCTGTGAATGTCAGTGTCTGAAACAAAGGAAACACTTGGCCTATTTCTGTGCATTTCCCCAAACCAGCATGCAAACTCAGGCATGCTGTTGTTGTGCTTCTGCAACCATAAACTGGCAAAAATAGGAAACAAATATTCCTGAAGGAGTTTACTTCACTTTGTACCAAAAATAAATCATAAAGAAAGCTAAATCAATACATTTGCCAAAATGCTTTGTAAAACACTTCAAATAACTAATTGGCATTGGAATAAAAATGTACAGACTTTTCAAGCAAAGCAGATAAAAGGGTATGAAAGAAAACATTCCTCCCAGCACCATCAGTCAACATAGAATCACTCTAATGAACATTTCTACAACCTACAAAAGTCTAACTATGTACATGTGTTCACAGGTAGATAAGTGATGCTAAATGACCTAAGCTGTGTCAGACTGATTGACAGAAAACATGGTCCCTACAAAACAGCTGACAGCTGGAGCAAAAAAAGGATTTAAATCTTCCTTCTAGCACGTAAATCAATGCAGAGGGTGGGAAAAATGCTACTGGCTCCCAGTCAAATGTCCAAACAAAATGTGACGATTGTAAAAGGAAAACAAGCAGGTACACATTGAAAAATGTCCAAGTTCATAAAAGTATAGTAAACTTAGAGCAATCATTCTTTAAAATAAAAAAAATACAGAAATAAAAGAAAAATAGGCTAAAATATGAGACAGCATCTTAGAGGCAAGAGAGGAAAATGAGATTAACAAACACAAGAACAAAAATAAAGTCATAACTAATACCAAAACAAAACAATTAATACAATTAAAGATCAAATAAGATGGTAAGTATTAAGCAAAAGAGATGGCACATGATAAAGTTTCACTCTGCAAATTTGATCTGTCAACAACTCATAGATACCATTGGACTTTGCCACATTGAACTTGGAGTATAACCTGAGGCAGACACAGAAGTCTCCTGAGTTACTGTATCTCCTTTCTGGCCGAGGAATCCCTTGCGATGGAGATCAAGGGTCTAGCTGGAGGTCTGGGTTTCCCTCCTGAAGCAGTTCTCACTGCAATCCAATCTCAGAAAATTAGGAGTGAGGGACAGACCGTCAGACAGTGTGTGCCTCAAACTGTCCAATGAAATGCCATCCATACATAGAAGGACAATTTTCTCTCAAGAGGAACAGTACCACATAAGTGAAACTCTGACAGAGTACTTGACATTCTTTTAAAAACCAGGGAGAGAAAGTGAACTGTGGGGGACTTCTGATGCAGCTGAAAGTGGGGAAATAAAGGCTGTTTAACATCCACCTGAGAGGAGCAAAGATACAAAGACCTGAGCAAAGAAAAAACTGTGCTATATTTTCGATGACAAGCCCCCACTGTGTGCTCCTGTCTCAGTTCCCACAGTTTCAAACTGTTAGTCTTACAGCTCTTACAGCCACACCTTAATCAGACAGCAGGTACTCTGCTAATCACATCTGATGGAGGGCTCCTGCTGCTAAGCTAACTCGCAGCAAGTGCAGTTGGTTGTTTTATGTCGCATTTTAACTTGGTCAATTTTCCTCAAAATGTACATTTGCATAAACTTAAAACAGGTCATGTCAGCTTTTATCGGGTGAGTTTTCGACAGAAGCCACATCATTTTAAGTATTATTTACCTTTTTAATTATGTTCACTCGTCAGGCAAATGTGACCCAAATCAGATTTTATTTTTTTGTGCCCATATGAAACCTATCTGCGACTTTTCCTCAGCAGTCCGAAAGGCCAAATTCCAATTTTTTCACCTCCCAAAAATGTCCAAATTGTGCCACTTCTATATGTAGCACTAAGTCGGATACATATCTGATTGTTCTGAAACCATCTGCAGTCTGAACATGTTGTATTTTATCCAACTTTTCTGTCAGTGATGTGAGCTGTGCATCATAATTCTGCACTTAAAGAAGCCAGGTGTTGTAAAACCAGACAAACAATGGCTGACAATTAGAACAATCACATCCCAATTTCTCCATCCTGGTCCAACTACGCATTCAAACAAACTTCTGTGCACAAGCTGCAGTCAACGGTCCACAAAAGGCCATTTCTATTACCTGTGTTTTCTTTTTATTAGCTTCCCTCATGTCGTAATTTTGTGATGATCCAGTCGGCTCTGAATAGCTTTAAAATACATCCAAAGGTCGCATCCATTATTACAATCGTAAACGGAGTACTGCGGTGCAACGTTAACATTCTTCTTCTGCACATCCGAGTCGCTATGAGGTTGTAAATTGTTAACACAGGACTCTGATTGTGGTTGCATTTAATAAGTAATGCGAAAATAACCTGAATTAATCATCAAGACTTGCTTTGTGAACATAGCCTTAGAAGTATCTTAAGATTCCTACCTTCATGTTTTCCTTGAAGAGGTTTGCTCTCCTTCCCACCATTCACAGCACTGATCTTAAAGTTGTAATCTTTTGAGGGGTCATAATCTTTAATGACCAGTTTTGTTTCCTGCTTTGCTAGTTCAAGCACCTTCTGCTGTCCACCTGTTTCAAGGGAAGAGATGCACCATTAGAAGAAAAAATATTTTTCAAAGACCACTACCAAGAGCCAGATTAATATAAGTTCTAAAGTATTTATACTTTATATATACTTTATATATGGTACTCCAACAATTAGTAGTTCATAGAAGGAGCACAGGAAGTTAGAGAAGTTTAACGTGCATGACTGACCGACAAGACAGAACAGAGCAACCTGCTCCTGCAACTGCACATGTGCTTCGGTCATAAGTCACCAGTTTTGAATACATAAACAAAAAGAACAAACCAGATGTTTGAAGTTTGTTATTAAATATCTTTAAAATATCAGCTCTAGAAAGACCAAGTAACACACAAGACAGGTCAGGAATAAGGTTAACAAAAAAGGGATGGGTTATAAAACAACATCTAACACATCATCTAAAAATGGTAAGAATATTGGAAAATGCAGGTTAAACAGGATGTGGTTCTCCTTTCTGAAAGGCTGAGAAGAACAATATAAAAAAAAAAAACGGTCAAGAAACTCATGGTAGCTCTGGAGGAGCTATGAATCCACAGTTCATCTTGGAGAATGAATGATTTTTTTTTTTTTTTTGCCTTTTTAAAACATTCATAATTTAAATGCCTTCTAAAAAGTTAAATCACTTGCTTATGTGCACAAAACTGGCAAAGTACAATTGTTTCTGATTCTAAAAACAGTTGGCCATTTGATTTTATTGAAAGGGGATTTTGCATACCTGTATCCCACACTTTTAGATTCTTTTTTGTAAAACCTTCAAAAAGTATGCATCATTTTCCTTTGGCTTTACAATTATGCATTAGTTCATATTGACCTATCAAAAAAAAAAAAAAAAAAATTACATGGAAGTTTGTGACAAAAAGAGAAAAAGGTTTTTTGCAAGTTGTACATATTCATTCAATAAATTTGAATATTACAGCCCTTTTATTTCAGGAGCCTTATGAATAAATTAAATACATTATATAGAGTAAGTTACAGACAACTGTATTTAAGCTTTTATTTCTGTTAAATTCCAGTAATGAAAACATTTAAATTAGAATATTACACCAGATCATAAAAAGAAAACGTATCTAATCCATAAATGTGGGTGAAATGAAAAGTATGTCTAATACCTGCTTACAGGTTGTCGTTTTCAACCTTTACTTCGAATCATACACAAGAGCCTTGTCTGAATGCATATTATAACTTATTGAATATGACTTAGTATTTATTCTCCACTAGGTGGATGGAGGTTTTTTTGAAACGTTCTTTAGAACTCCTCCTCTCTTCCTTCTTTGTGAAATTACACATTAATTTCATAGACTGAAAATAGATCAACGATATTCATCAAGACCTCTTAACATCTTTAACTGTTCCGGCTGCACTCACAATCAAGATTTGTCTCACTCATCTGTGAATGTGACACATCCTGCATTGCAAACCTGTTTATAGCAGTTGAAATGAAAAGATGAAAATTAATACATTTACATGCAAATGAAGGTGGCGACACTGAAAGGTAATTTAAATGTTTTCTTCTAAGAGAAAATTTTCCATGTTCGGTATTTTGGTAAAAATTTAAACTATTTAAGTTTATAACTACGTCATTCATTGTTCTTGCACAACATTAAAAAAAATGACAGGATCAAATGAACAACACGCTTCTGCTTCAGAAACATGCGCTTTTGTATCAACACCTTGTAATATTTTAGACAAATTACTGAGATGAAACACATTCTGCCTTTCCATGCTATTAAGATCTCAGTTTCAGAATAAATGTACTGTGTGCTGTCGCTGTCAATGTGACTGCATCTTCACACAGTTCACAGAATCCCAGTAATCTCCATGTAATTATATAGATATAAAATCAGAACAGACATTCTCAACACCTGCTTTTCTAAAATAAAGACCTAAAGAAAGAAAACAAAATCTTCTAATCTAATAAACTAAGTGTAGCAGCGAACACAATACACCCTTCTGGACAGCATACACTATCATGTATATATGCTTGCATTACATTTTTTTGTACTGTAAATAAAAATACAGCACATTGTTTTTATCTCTAAAAAAGAAAATTAGTAGTAGGAAAGAGATGGACTAGAATCAGAATCAGCTATAATTGCCAGGTTTATGTACAGTGAACAGACATTAAACAAATTTTAGAGAATATTAAAAAAACTGAAAAACACTGTGTACATTTATTCAGTATTTAATATTCTAGGTCAAAATATGCTTGTCATGTTTAACAGTAGCTGATTACTCGGACTGTAAATAGCTCATTATGATCACAGACACAACTTTGGGGAAGAAATTACCTCGGTGGCAGCTAGTTTTTGCAAATGCCTGTAGTTTTAATTTGACCTGAAAGTAAAAGTTAGTTTATGTTCAGAATGTGTGGGGTCTGCAAAAATGTTAGCTGCCCTTTTTTCTGTCCCTAGACCTGTACAAGCAACAGATGGAGCCAAACCAATGAATGAGAAAATCTGAGTTCTCAAATGTGTGAATTTAACTTTGAACTTGTCCAAGTGAAGGGTCGACTTGCATAACACTGCAAACACCCCCCTAATCAGCTCTGTCTGCAGTCTTTGTTTGTCTACATACTCAAAGTGGCAAGATTAAAGCCGAAGAAACTACGGCGCATGTTTTAAACGGATTGTGTAATCCTGTCATGTTGCTCAGACAGGAATTTCCTTTTACCCTAAAACTAATCTGTCACATAAATGGTTACATTAATTTTACCAATTACTTTGTGATAAGTAATTGGTAAGGTTCGCTAGATCTTATTTGGCCAGTTAGGTCTGTTTGATTAAAAGATGCTACTCTAGATTGCGGATGTTTCTCAAGTAACCATGATGCACATTCTACAAACTCTCTTCATATTCTTTTGCATTCCTAAATAATTTGAATCCATCACCTAGTAAAGAAAAAATATTTCTCTCCAGTTAGTTTATTTGAGAGAACAGTACAAACAGTACAGCAGATAGTAACATGAACAAGCAGAGAAACGCATAAACCAATACCCAAGCAATAAGAACTGCAAATAAAGATCAAGTAAAAGAAATATGTAATATACATCTAAGCCTGCAAAATTGCTATTGCTGGTATGGAAGTTGCAAGTCAGCAAACTGACCGTAGCAAATGGTCCTTCCTCCTGACTTAAAGAGATGATATCTAAAACATATTAACTGAAAAGTTCAGGACAAACAAAGCTGATTAGTTGAGTTTGTGATGAAAGAAAAGTGCCTATTGTTCCTCAGCTTTCCATGTGATTAAATTCAGCTAGTCATTTAGCCTGCTGCTTGATTCAGTTGCCATACGACTAAATGTTCCAGGTGGGATCGATAGATCTTCTCAAACTGACAGCTATCAAAGCCAATGTTTCCATAAATCTAATTTCCAGCTGCTGCTCCAGTAAAATGACTGACAGCAGAAACCAACTTGCTTCAGCATTTTTTGAAGAGAAGGTATATGCTTAAACTTTAAAAAGGTTCAAAATAAGTTTTCTTCAAACTGGAACATTTTAATAAAATGATAACTTTAGCCTGACATTCCAGAGGTAAAAATATAAGTCTATAACATCAACATACACAAACCTGCTTCCATTGCAAAATGACGCATCATATACAGTAATTCAGGCCCTTCACTGTTGTTTGCCATGACAATTATTGCAAAGCTAGTAAAAGCATACTTTAAGACAATATTAGCTATTTAATAGGAATAATATAATCATGCATGTCATTTCTTCTGGCTGCAAGAAAGTGCAGAGTCTTCAGTTGATGACAGGAAGGCTGGGAATAGAAATAAGTTGCTCTTTTTTATCCGTTGAAACTTTGAGACTTTGCTTGCTAATGGAATAAAGGCAGCCAACTTAAACATCTCAGAGTTAAGCCTGGTTCACAAAGGAAGATAATTATGCCGATTTTCTTCCCGATTTTCCCTTTTGAACAATCTTAAGGATACACCGATTACTGTGAAGACTCCACAGATAATCCTATGAGATACTCCTGCTGTGTGAGGTGTGTTGTGTTAAAAGGGATGTGGTCAACTTGGAAGGACGTTGGGACTGCTCCACTCTATTATTTAGAGCATTCAATGAGTTGGATATCGCCACATGTGATGTATTCCCACAGGACAAACAACATGGCAACCTATTGAATGTGACGTGTAGCCAATCAGAAAGCAAGGTGACGTAAACATGGAGAGGAGTACAAAACACAGAAGGCAAAACAACTGCACAAAACAATGTGCACCTGGAGACAGCTTTTTAATAATGTCAGCAACACCAACGTCACTAATATGTGAAGTTATAACATCCTGAGATCTATCTAGAATATAAACTGCTTTCTTGTCACATTTTATCCTCGTTTTAGAATAATTGTAAAAAAAAACAACAAAAAACATTAAGTTTTCTCACAAAGTGGTTTGATGTCATCTCTACCTGTAATATAAGTAATGACATAATAGTCATAATTAATATTGACACCAGTAAAACATTAATTTTTTTTTTAAATCTGTCATATCTTTTTGAATTATAGGAGATTTGAATCGGCTGAAATTAATACTGGCAGGTGAATATTTTACAAAACACAGAGATTGGAAATTGTCTGCCAAATTCCGAGTGATACATTTCTACAATTAAGGGCTATTAAAAACAAAAACAAAGCAAAAAAATGCATGCAAAGTCACAGTGGCTGAGGTTTGTTTTAAACAAACACTGAAGCAAGGCTTCAATTTAACAACCAGAAAGAATGTTCTAAACATGTAGGCAACACAGAAATAAAACATGTTCCTTTTTTTGTTTCGTTCATCTCCATTATGACTCAATGTTTCTACAGCTCTGAGCTTCTTCCCCTCCTCCGTCTCCGTCATTTTACACGCCGATGTTGCTCCTGCCATTTGACCGACTCTTCCCTGCGGTCTCTGGGGACAGCTGCCTGGGCTTACTGCACCTTATCTGACAGTTTCTCCATTGATGTCATCAAGCAGACGGGCCAAGCAATACCAGAAGCTGCAGGTTTACTCTGCCGCAGGCGAAACTAAACACAGAGCATGACATGCACCCTAAAAAAGCAGGTCACATAGGACTGCCTCCAGTACCCCATAAACATTGGTTAAATATCATTTAGGAAGTTGTACCTTAACCACAGGAAATTTGTTGATATTAATTACATTTTGGCATAATTCTGCCAGAACATTTTGTTAGTTAATTTCCTGCCACAGATTTAGCGCACAATTATGTTTTATAGCATTCAGGTTAGAACTTGAAGTTTCTACTACATGAACCAAACTGATGAAATTAAACTGGTTTGGAGCATCATATCCACCAAAACCTTGAAACTGCTGGGCGTAATATTGCAGGTAGTCAATTTGGTTTTCCATCACCACATAACATGGGGGTCTTGACCAAGAAAAAGAACCTTGACAACTTCAAGCATTATTGAAATCTCCAGATATCCACAGCGACAAACCAAATATCTCCTACAGAAACGTTTCATTGTTGATGCAAAGCTTGAGCCATTAAGAAAAACAAAAAGTATGTCAGGGATAATCAAAGTAAGGCGTCAAAACCAAGGAAATACTGAACTGTCATTGTGCAAGTAGTATCCATTTTCACATCCATTTATTAAATTTTTCAGTTTACATAAACATTTTTTATGATTCCACAGACATTATTTTATTTATGGATGTGTTTAGTACATTCCCCCTTGAAATGTCCAATTAAAAACACCTAAGAGACACACTTTAGACGCTTTTCCACTAGACCGCCTCTAACCGGTACGGTCTTGGTCCGCCCCGGCCGGATTCATTTTCCAGTAGCAAATCCTGCGCGGCTCCACCAGGCTGTTCTCAGATTTTGGTAGGTGGTCATCTTTCTGATGGGGCTGCAGTTTTGTGCCGACAGTGTGAAATAATGGAACTACATAATATTAGCTTGTGATGCAAATTTTCCTGTGATTTTCCTTTGGATTTAAAAAATAAATAAATAGATAAAGTCCAGGCATGGTCATTTGTTTGACATCTTTTTGCTGCTTTCATTGCCTAAATCCAAAAAGTTCCACACTTAAAAAAAAAAATAAAGTGAAAGAATATAATTATATTTATATGTATAGGGACATAACAAACTCATCCAAGTCTGTATCATTATGCTTGGGCCAGCAATTAGTTTATATAAGACAAAATTAATTATCTGGGATTGAGTCCATTAGAACTATAACCTCAAGGTTCTCCATTGCTGAATGTTGCTGCAAACATCAGCAGAGAGTTGACCACAGCTGCTGCGCGCTCACAGCCTGCCCACAATACCAAGGAACAGAGCGTATAATGGAAAAGCTCTCTACCTGGGGTAAAACCGAGCCGCACATTAACCGGTTAGTGTGCAACTTGCCAGTAGAAAAGCACCTTCTGTGTGTTCAGTTCTGTTCAAAGCAGTCTAGAAACAGTTTTTTATTAGCATCACTTGAAAAGCATGAAGCAGAAGCGCAGACACAACACATCACTGCAAGCTGAACTCATCTCCACACTTCACCAAGCAATCAAGAAGGTTTGGCACCGGCAGCGAGGAAAAAATAAATAAATAACGAAGACGGTGACACAAATCAAGGGAACATGCATAAAAAAAAGGCTATTTTTTTTAAAAGGTTCAACATTTAATCACATGTTCCTCCCTCTTCAGTTTCTACTGCTAACAGTAAGTCAAATTAATATTGCATATTTGTTTTTTAGGGTACAACTTAGGTTTGCTTTTTCTCACATAAAGAATGAAAACACACAGAATGCATCTGAAAGAAAGATGCAATCTAAAGCAAAAAAAAGTCTTTGATTACTTATTTAGTCAAGAGCAAAACTAAACATGCTGGCCTATGTGTAAATATTAGTAAGGTGGAAAACTAACGCCACACATTACCCTGAAAGCGCCATCTCTATTAACCCTTGTGAAATGCGTCGCATTTTACTTAACTACTTATCAACTTGTATCAACTGATTAAAAAAAAGTACAGAAGTGGAGTCAGGTCTGCAGTATTTGTCCTAGAAACTGGCCTGAAAAGACTGCTTCTACAAGGAACTTGTCTCTTAAAACACATACTGCATAAAATAAATCTCCCAATGTTTAGAGCTTAATACAAATCCTTACCAAATGGGCCAAACTAGGCTCTAGGTTCATGAATAATGAGAATAAAAAAAGATGAGACATTATAAGACAGCTGCAGAGCTTGGCAAGCAGACAAGTCAAGCCTTGCAATGTGAATTGCAAGGCTCTGTATGTTTTAGAAAACATCTAAAACATACAGAGCACAGATTTCCCATTGAATTTTGTTATTGATCCTGATAAATAGAATGAGTATGGCTAATAAATGAATGTTGCAACAGAACATTTGTATATTTGTTGTCTTGCACAGTCAATTTAAAAACAAATTAACGAAATGAGCTGAAAATATACATTTTTGATTATGTAATCTATCAAGGTTTAAAAAGATTATCTTGTGTTTTTCTGTTTTGACTATCATGATAATACATTTTCAAATCAGCAATCTTGTTTCAAAGATGACACCTGTTTCAATACAAACACAATTCCTGAAAGCTTTGTGAAATATTGTTAATTTTTAGTTAACTTAAACAACCACAGTCTAATCAATCAATATGTTAATGTACAAAACCTAAATGTAGTACTGTTAAGATGGTAAATATGTTTCAGTGACATAAAATGATGCAAATCAAGTCAACACTACTGGTTGCAATCTTTTCCAAATCTCATGAAAATGCTCAAATTATGGTGGCTGGACAAATTGTCCTTATTTTATGTTTTGTTGGATTTTATTATATTGTCATTTTCAGTATCTTTAGAAATATATGTTTTTTTTGTTTCCTGATACTTATTAAAACTAATCACATTAGCGGTTATAATTATTGCATTAGATTTTACTGTAGTTTAACTTTTCCCACCTTGACTGAAGTCTCTCTAGACTTCAGCAGAACAGATCTTCACTGGGAGCTTTAATTGTTGAGTATTTCACAAAGTAGAAAAACGGCCTAAAAGCTACATTAGTGCATTTTCACTGAAGTCGGTCACAGGTGTTTACTGTGTGCACCAGCATAATCAGAGTATCAATTATATCCCACCCTGTCTGCGGTTGTGTGTAACTTTTTTCTGCACGACGAGCTATGAACTCAAACATAAGCAAAAATGACATGAAAATGTTGACTAGTTCTCCCTCAGGGAAAGGAGTTTTACTGTTGCGCTCCCATTTGCAGAACATTTTTAAACACCAGGAAAAGAAACTTTTTTCATAGAAAAAACAAACTATTTACATTCTTGTGTCTTCATAAAACAAATGATCCCTGTATAACTTGCATGTATTGTACTTTTTAAATTCATTTTCTGATATTTTTTTTATGCAGAAATTACAGTGGAGGGGCCCTTAAGCAAAGCATTAGCCAATCAAGCTGTCACAGTGAAATCATTGCTGAGCTACTGGGCATGAAGCGAGGTTAACAGTGTGAACAACAGGGCAGGATTGGACAAGAAAATAATATTCTTGAAAAATTCTTTTTCATATTTCTTTGAACTGATCAAGTTGAAACTGGAAGGTTTTTTTAATGGAGAAAAACTGTTGCTGGGTTTTTTAAGTTCTCTTTCATGGACACAGCATATTTCTCTTAAACATTAATTGAATAAACTTAGAAAACTAAAAAATATATATTATGTTAGGGAAAAAGAAATTGTAAATTTAAGGTTAGGTTTATTATCTATGAAGTGCTTTTCTTTATAAGTACATGCTTGTGAACATATTTTGCCAACACACACATTTTTCAAAATGAAAACAAAATTGAACCCCAAAGTTCAACCTTACCTGGACGTGTGACGTAAATAACCTTGTATCCTTCAAAATCTCCTTTCGGCTCCTTCCATGACACCTCAAGCTTGTCCTGTCCCAGGACTTTTACACGAAATCTCCGTGGTGATGAAACTGGTTACAGACAATGGGAAATAAACCATATTTACAGGTCTGTACAGTCTGACACATCTTGTAAGCATATGCATCAAAGGTAAATTACAATAAAACATTCTCATGCATCAGAGAATGCATGGTAATTTCCAATATTTTGGCAAATACTGGAAAACTTCAGTTGTCATTAATGTCTGAACCTTCACACTGGGGGGAGTCCAACTTTTCTGCTTATGACTTTTTAAAAATCATTCCCAGCTCTCAAACAGTGTCTTGCAAAAGTTTTCTTAGAAATTGAAATTGAATGTTTAATGTTAAGCAAAGATCAAGTTCTACATAATTGAGAAGTGGAAGGAAATTATAAATCTTTTAGTATTTTGGGTTATTTCTCTAACAGCTTTGCATATGTAGAGAGTAAATGCACAATTGCAGAGATCTTTGCCCATTTTTCTTTGCAAAATAATACAGGCTAAGATTAAATGGAGAGAGAATGTCTGTGAACTTAAAGGTATGTGGTTGTTTTCTGCTGGAAAGTCAATTTCTAGCCCATTCCCAAGGCTCTGGCAGCCTTTAATTGATTTTCTTCTAGCGCTGCCCTCAATCTGAAAAGCAACAATGGGTGTGAATACTTTTGCATGGCCCTGCCAGACATTAGAATGGATGTGCTACAGGATGTGCTCTCCATTAACTTTCACTTACGCACAGTGACACCAAGCGCAAACCACAACTGTGAAAGAGGTAAATGAAACTGAACTCCCTCCAGAGTTCTGGTGCCATTGAGACAATCACTCTGTTTTTAACTGTCAAGAAACAGGGGAAAAAAACAGGATATACTGTATCTCATCCATGTGGAGGATACACATCAGAGAGATTAGATAGAACAGATGTCACATTAAAAAGCCCCAAAGTCCCACTCTCCTCCTCTTCCTTGTCTTCCTGAATTGTGCTCGTCTCTGTGGGGGATGACAGGTCTTGGTCGTGCTCATCTTACCGTATATATCAAAGCATCGTTCCTGCCTCTCGTCCTGATTAGTTGCTGGCCCTTTCAGCTGTCTAGATGCCTCTATCCCCCACTTTTCACCCAAACCCTTTTATTCATTTTTGCTCTCTTAGCGTTTCATCCGTCTGCTCTGCCATTCTTCATATTTGACTGATCCCTTGCTTTACTAATCTCAGGATGTCGGTTTGCTTTGAAATCAATTAGAAATGAGGGGAAGACAGTGAAAAGGAGAGAATGTGACTTTATTTTAACCAATAGGGGAGAAAAAACAAACAACAAAAAAAAACAAAAACAAAAAGGTACCAAAGGGAAAGGCTCTGGAATAGCATGTCGGTGCTATTCCTCTCCTGTCCTCGCCAGGATAATTTAGATGTAAATCACATAATAATGTGATCAAACGAACTCCACAAAACCCAACACACTTTACAATTGCCTCCACCTGTTAGTGACCTACAGAAAAGTCAACAACACTGTAAGTGGAATTTTTATGCGAGTATTTGAGCGTATATTCACTTTTCATTGCGGTTTTCTGAATAGTGTTGTTAAGTTTTCTTAAAGGACACAGGTTAAAACTATGGAATATGGCTATTGTAAAGAAAAACGATGGAAGGAACCACATAACCAGGTCAACAACCACCCTATCATTTCCACACCAGCAAAGCCAAATCCCACATACTAAAAATATATCTAGACGCAGTACATTCCCCAGTTAACTTTAATTGACTACATAGAAAAAAAAAAACAAACAGAAAACCCAGGGGGTGGAAAATAAGATATGAAACCCACAAACTAGTTTCTGTGTTTGTGCCTTCATTATGAGGTGAACAGTCTGCTGCTGCCAACTTCTTTAAATACCTACACAATGACTGATGCCTCATGAAGCTTTGATGCTCTGAAGCGAAATACACAAGAGGTTTTTAAAAAATGGCTCACTCAAAATAACCAAATGGGAATTGAAAAATGCTCTATTATAAACATTTGTTGGTGTTGAATATCTGTTTGGAACAATATACACACGTGTTACCTTCAAACAAGGCATAAAAATAGAAATCGATCAGTTTCCAGTTTTTAAAAGGTGTGCTGTATTTTAAAAGGTTGAGATTTTAAAACCAAAAAACCCTTTTTTCAGGCATTTCCAGAAGTTAAATATGCTTTTTATTATACAAAAGACTGATCAAATGGGGTATAGAATAGCACTCCATTTCTTCAAGCACTGCCAGTCAGCTCTGAATTGTGACTAAACAGGAAAAAAATATAGATTTTTTTGCTCCATTTTGGTATTACAGACATACGGTTTAGAGGAGCTGGTGCTTTTGTTGGTCTACCACATAGAATTGGAATAAAATTTCTTGAGTTTTATAACTTTAATGCGGTCTATGTTTATGGAAATTAATACTTTTGAAAGACACTAAATTTTGAGCAGTACATCAAGGGCTGGTGTTGAAATAAATCCTAGAAACCTCTTAAAAAAATGATACCTGGGAAAACATGATAGTCTTAAGTCCCTCAGTATAGAAAACCTTTTAATGATCTTAAGATTGAAGATAAAAGCATGAACAAAAAAGTCAATTTTTCTTCCCTGTTCTTATGTGTCAATTTGAAGAGCCTTTGGTGTTGTATTTTAATTTTTTTCTGCATTTTCCTATGTCTTTCTTTACAACACTGGGCTGACAAACATTGATATTATCCACAAACCCCTGCAGCATTTTGAGTGAGCCACCTCTTTTATGCCAGAGATCAGTAACAGAAACCACTTATGTAGGTATGTAAAGAAACTTGAGTTCAGCACAGGAAGGATAATTCTCACTCCGGTGGAGAAAATGAAAAGCCCGTGCATTCAGGCAAATATATATTTATATGCAAACTCAGGTAAAAAATAAATAAATAAAAATACAGTACCAATTATCTCACCAACCTGGGGATGAGAATGAGGGCTGCATGAGATTTCAGCCCAGGGCTTAGCTCTCTCGTCTGAAGAAAGCTGCTGAAATCCCAAATGATTCAAGATGCAGATTTCATACCTCGCTGTTTGCAGTGTCGCTCAACTGTGTACTGTGCCTTCGTATCTGCATGTATGTTAATAAATTATGCATGTTTGTCCACAGCTGGAAGCACATGTATTCTGACGCTCACACAAAAAAATGAAACCTTTGGTGGCTGTTTTCAAAAATCCCCCTGCCTCTTGAAAAATCTGCCGGTTCCTTTGCAGCATTTTACACACACACACGCATGCGCGTATATATAAATACACACAAGCACACACTCAGAAAAACCTTGGGATCTTTTCTGTGAGATTGGATTCTCACACATATAGAAAAGTATTGAATGGTGTGCAAATAGCCCAGTAAAGACAGACAAAAGGCATTGCCAGCAGAGATAGGAACTTAATTCTCATCAATTTTTCATCGAAGATCTCATGTAAACAGCAGGGGCCGAGTGTCCGTCACACTCGATGCCAGTTCTGCAGAAAGTCGAAAGTGCACGGATTTGACTGCATTTTAAATGAAGTGTTAGAGTAGACGGCGGTGGGCTGTGGTATCAGGGGAGAGAACAGCAGTGAGCCGAGTACAGAAAACAGGAAAACTCATCTATAAGCAAGGGACCTCTGACGTGAGCGTGTTTCAGAAAAGACCCTGTGATCTATATTCCTATTGCAACCACTGAGATTTCTCAGAGAGGCTACAGTGTGGATTTCAGCATCAATAAATCAACAGAGAGCAGATTAATTACAAATATGCCTTTTCAATCCACACCCGTCAACATTGAATCAGGAGGACAAAACGGCTTTAAAAAGCAGAGCAAAGATAAAGAAGGGAGTGTATTTATCCAAATATTTTGTGTGATTTGGAATAGTTTTAAATAAAGTGCTTAAAATGTTCTAATTCAGAATATTTTCCCAAAGTTCTGATCAAATTAATATGTTAATAACTCGTACATGTGACCTAAAATGGTAACGCAGTACACTGCTGGCATTTGATCACATCCCCCTGCCTGTTTCCCTCTAGGTGGTTTTACCTGAAGATACTTCATCTAGTCTTTCTCTGTGGGGGGATGGCAAACATGAGAAGTCTCTGTAAATCCTTCACTGAGCCACTGAAATTCCACCTTTAACCTCTGAAATTGGGATTTTCTGTCAGGTGTGGAAAGTGATTTAAGACAGACTAAGTAATTACTTAATGACAACCCTAACTTACTGAGACGTAGGGAAATTGGATAAACCCAATAACCCCATCCACAATACCCGACTTTAAATTCATAGAATAATTAAGCCAGGTGTTTTCTATTTCATTTTATCAATCAGTAAGCTTCAAAATGGGAAGTCTGTTCTGCTACAAAGGCTTCTCACCCTGCCTGACCCATTTGAAAACAAAGGTTCCACAGGAAAGGTTGGTCTTAGCCACTCGTAAGTCTTCAGCTCCTCCCGGGTCGCCGCTGTAGCCGGGGCTAGCACACAACGCCTCTAACTGAGGAATGCTGTGGCTGCTTTCGGTTCTCTCATATTCAGAGCAAATCCTAGCAACTGTCCATGCTGTGCAAGACTTTGTCTGTTGCAAAGTTTTGCCAAGCCAATTATCTGTCCAGACTGACCATTGCAAACGTTATTTGAACATACCAATGGTCAGAGCTGGAAGAATTAGCTTCTGTTTATTCTACCAAGTCAATAAACGGTTATAAATTCTCCTAAACGGCAACAACTTTCACCTTTTGTTTTATCTTATGCAAATGCAAAGTAAACATGAAGGTTTTAGCTCGTTTTCTTTAAAACATGGCTAAAGCAGACTCTATATTCATGGTTAAAAGACCATGAGTGACATTTCTTGAGAAATTTAGATTTTTTTCCATCATTAAAGTCAAACATCGAACAACTGAAAGCTTTTCCGTATGGAGAGAAAAAAAAACGTTATAGTTTTAAGCAAAAGTCACAAAGCAATCAATAGCTTCATGGGTATATGAGCATGATGTGAGCCAGCAACCCTTTTTCATAACCACTCCTGAACATTGGGAACAATTAGAGCAGTGT